AAGCCACAACTTCTCCCTTCACTGCAAAGCTAGAATCATAGCTAGGCGCATATGGACAGGAGTGCGCATTAAAAACCTCCGCCATTTATTGTCTTTGAATAGTGTCAGAGCCCTAATGTACTGGACTGATGTCTCCAAGCTCTAACAGGGAATCTTGACATGCATTAAGAGAATACTCATCACCACATGCGCTTACAGCCTCTGTGTCTGTTGATCGGGCATGGGAATGTTCCGTTTTTGCCTGTACATAGGTAGTGAAAGCTGCGCATACATCATCAAAGCCACTTGATCGTGACCATTTAGAACGACCACTATCAGTCTGGCTAGTTGTAGGGCCGCTCTTGTGACTTTTGCCATTCGATGGTTCTATGTACTCATCGCCGAATAAGTCAACAGTAATAGGTTCGGCCGCATTACTCTCACCAGCTCCAGGAGACCAAAATTTATTAAGCATTTCATCATTTTCATCGGAGTCAGGGGCTCTTTGTGTGGATGCACGGACCAAGGCCCCTGTGGCACAACAGTTTTCAACAATTTCGGCAATTTCTTGAAAATATTCAAATCCTTTTGTCCTAAATTTCTTAACATTTTTTGTTGCCTACAGCAATTGAACATATTAAAAATAAGCGTTCTGTACATGTTATAAAATGTTACAAAAAAAATTGAAAAGGGTATAGATTAATTGAATACCTTGTCCCAAAATTCATCGGGTGCAACAACCGTTCCTACAATGGGATCCCATCTCAAACCGGTCTGTGCCTGCAATCGCTTGAAGGTTTGGTAATCAGCTTTCAATCGCTAATATTTTTGTCATACCTGTTTTGGTGTGTATCGAAATCCGTACAAATTTTGCAACTCAGTTGCAAAATGAGTCCAATGCCTAACTGTCCACACAGTACTATGACCTGTTGTTTGATTTTTTTGTACCTCGTCTTTCAACATGTTTATTATCTTCATTTCTATTCTGGAACTCCACATTCTTGTGTCCTGATTGTTGCCATCCATCTAACAACACACAATTTATATCTAAACTAATCTGAATTGGATATTAAAAATTAAAATTGCAAGAATCTTCTCCAATTATGTTTTCGTAGGAAAGAAAGTGCATCAATTGAAGTTATTAACAGTGTTGGGAAAAATAGATACAAGAGGAAAAAGCAGAATATTGCTAGGAAAAAAAAAATATCAATTGAAGTGTTAACAATGTTATATAACAAGAAAAAACATAATATTATATGCAAAAAGTTTATAAGAGAAGTGTATACAGTAGACAATAAGCACAAATAACCAGAAGGAGACTAGAAGAAGAAGAGAAGTAGAAAAGGGTATTGCCGGTCGACCAAGAGGAGAGGGGGTTGGGCCGGAAGTCCGGTGGGACGACCGGCTGGTTGTCCTGGCGGTTGACTGGTTTGACAGAACATTTCCCCTTCTTAGCTAGTACATACTAGATCGAGTAAAGGATTGAACGATATACGACTAGAAGATCTATTGAAGGATATATGAAGGATTGAACGATATACGACTAGCAGATCCATTCAAGGATATACGTACCAGAGCAGGAGTGGAATAGTTGTTGCTGATGACTGAGTGGCTACAGTGGGTGGATGTGCGCTTCTTCGCAATGTGTTTGATTGGAGAATACGTTTCACAAATTTGGCCTGACACACATAAATTGGGAATGAATTTTGAGGAAATCAATGAGTTGTAATTTAAAATTTGAAAGAAATTTGTAATGTAGTTGGACGGATGCGGATTGATTTTCTTCAATCCGCCAATCTGGCGGACGGATGGCGGATTGGAGGTTCTGTGGCCGCAACCGACCCGCGCCCACCCCTAGTTGGTGATGTAAGTGAGGTTTATACTACAATTTGTGAGAACTGATTTACCGGCACTAATTTACAAGTATGCCATTTAAAACCCCACTTTCGTATTCTTTATCGATGGATAGTCAAAAATGTCACTCCTACAAAAGGACATTTTGATGTTGTTCCATTTTATAATGTTTATTTGTTATATTGTTTTGAAATTGGACAAACATTAGATTTATGTTACATAATAATGAAGGAAATGATGGTCGCAAATCTTGGTACTTTCAGTGGCCGGTCATCAGGTGAAAAAAAAAAAAAATGAATAAAAACAACATAGACATCATCAAAGCATGTTGGACAACCACAATGAGAACTGCAAGCTCGATCAAGCCAACTTCTCCCCTCACTGCAAAGCTAGAATCATAGCTAGGCGCATATGGGCAGGAGTGCGCATTAAAAACCTCCGCCATTTATTGTCTTTGAATAGTGTCAGAGCCCTAATGTACTGGATTGATGTCTCCAAGCTCTAACAGGGCATCTTGACATGCATTAAGAGAATAGTCATCACCACATGCGCTTACAGCCTCTGTGTCTGTTGATCGGGCATGGGAATGTTCCGTTTTTGCCTATACATAGGTAGTGAAAGCTGCGCATACATCATCAAAGCCACTTGATCGTGACCATTTAGAATGACCACTATCAGTCTGGCTAGTTGTAGGGCCCCTTTTGTGACTTTTGCCATTCGATGGTTCTATGTACTCATCGTCGAATAAGTCAACAGTAATAGGTTCGGCCGCATTACTCCCACCAGCTCCAGGAGACCAAAATTTATTAAGCATTTCATCCTCTTCATCAGAGTCAGGGGCTCCTTGTGTGGATGCACGGACCAAGGCCCCTGTGGCACAATAGTTTTCAACAATTTCAACCATTTCTTGAAAATATTCAAATCTTTTTGTTCTAAATTTCTTTTTGTTGCCTACAGCAATTGAACATATTAAAAATAAGCGTTCTGTACATGTTATAAAATGTTACAAAAAAAATTGAAAAGGGTATAGATTAATTGAATACCTTGTCTCAAAATTCATCGGGTGCAACAATCGTTCCTACAATGGGATCCCATCCCAGACCGGTTTGTGCCTGCAATCGCTTGAAGGTTTGGTAATCAGCTTTCAATCGCTAATATTTTTGTCGTACCTGTTTTGGTGTGTATCGAAACCCGTACAAATTTTGCAACTCAGTTGCAAAATGAGTCCAATGCCTACTTGTCCACACAGTACTGCGACCTGTTGTTTGATTTTTTTGTACCTTGTCTTTCAACATGTTTGTTATCTTCATTTCTATTCTGGAACTCCACATTCTTGTGTCCTGATTGTTGCCATCCATCTAACAATACACAATTTATATCTAAACTAATCTGAATTGGATATTAAAAATTAAAATTGCAAGAATCTTCTCCAATTATGTTTTCGTAGGAAAGAAAGTGCATCAATTGAAGTTATTAACAGTGTTGGGAAAAATAGATACAAGAGGAAAAAGCAGAATATTGCTAGGAAAAAAAAAAATCAATTGAAGTGTTAACAATATTATATTACAAGAAAAATCATAATATTATATGCAAAAAGTTTATAAGAGAAGTGTATACAGTAGACAATAAGCACAAATAACCAGGAGGAGACCAGAAGAAGAAGAGAAGCAGAAAAGGGTATTGCCGGTCGACCAAGAGGAGAGGGGGTTGGGCCGGCAGTCGATCGGCCGGAAGTCCGGTGGGACGAACGGCTGGTTGTCCTGGCGGTTGACCGGTTTGACAGAACATTTCTCCTTCTCAGCTATTACATACTAGATCGAGTAAAGGATTGAACGATATACGACTAGCAGATCTATTGAAGGATATATGAAGGATTGAACGATATACGACTAGCAGATCCATTCAAGGACATACGTACCAGAGTAGGAGTGGAATAGTTGTCACCGATGACTGAGTGGCAATAGTGGGTGGATGTGCGCTTCTTCGCAATGTGTTTGATTGGAGAATACGTTTCACAAATTTGGCCTGACACACATAAATTGGGAATGAATTTTGAGGAAATCAATGAGTTGTAATTTAAAATTTGAAAGAAATTTGTAATGTAGTTGACTTCGGTCTTGTCGTTGTTTTGTTGCTCGGAGAGTGAATCTTCCACAACGCACAAACTGTAACTTACTTGATTTGTGGGAGCTGGTAATTGCGATTTTATGGGTAGAGAGGGGGTTCATAGATTCGAACACGACCTGTGAAGAATCTTCACCTGTGATCGTTGAAAGAGAGGAAGAGGACTCGTGAAGTTCAGGTTGGAATTTCTTTGAGGTGAAGCTTTTCAGAAGTTTAGTTTTAAATTTCCTTCACGTGAAGCTTTTCAGAAATGGAGAATATCAAAAAATACAGAGATGTACTGTTGGAAGCTTTTACAGTGGAGAAACGAAGGGAGAACTCTGTCAAACGGGAAGTGGAGATGTATTTTGAATTGTATGGTGGAATTACAATATGAAAATTGTATCCAAATGTGAAAGTGTAAATGTATGAGTGGAAATATAGTTTGAGGATGTAACCAAACACAGCCGTAGTCTCTCACTCCCGTCATCCCTAACTACCCTACCTATTTCCTGTGTTTGTTATGTTCCATCATTATTAAAATACACTTATAGTCAAAGAGATTACATGTACAAACAATTAATCTCTCACTCCCCTCTTCCACAACTATTTCCTGCATACTTGTTATGTTCCATTGTTATTTATTTAATCCTAGAGTGATTCTGCGCACACAATGAATGTGTGAAACGGTAGTAGGACATGTGGCTTAGAGAGTGGGATATTGGATTATTTTGGTATGTCGTTTTCTTACATTTTTGCCCAAACAGTTACTAATGGGAATAGTCTAAACAATTGTAAAAATATATTTTTATTTGAATAATTTTGCCTATAGGTTTGTTGTGCACCTCATTTTTAGTTTTTCTTTCACATCTTTAGGTCATATCAAAGGAGAAGTTTTAAAATTACCTACTAAAATATTTCTTTCAAATTACAAACCCATAAGCAAAGAAGCATAGGCACTTTTAATGAAGGTCATAGATACAGGAATGCAAAATTTGTAAATCGTGCCAATAATATGTGTGCTATTACTTTAATTGCTTCCATTTTTTTATAATATTTTGCAGATTTTAAAGTTGCAGCAAAGAATTCAGTATCTCCAGGCCGGAAAAGCAAAGGCATAATTTTCCTCTGCTGGTTCTTTTCTGGCCTAGTTAGCATCAGTGCTCTTGATCTCTGCTTTTTGAGTAAAACTACTATTCTAGTTACTAGCCCTCCCTTTTTGTTTTTGGATTTTGATGATTGTTTCTTACAAGGAAAATGTGGTTGTGTTGGTTTTTTTTAAATGATACGTTGTGTTTGTGCAAGATATGTCAAAGTTTAGGTTGTATCGAGTGCATCGTTCCTAAGTATCCAACATTGGTGGACCAATGCCGTGTAATGACTTATCTTTGTATCTGGTGAATGTGGATCTTTGGAAAAAGTTGTTGGCCATCAGTTGTTACAATGTACTGCTTAAGTTGAACTAGTGTCCATGGCCTGTTTGGTGATAAAAAGGCAAAAATTAAACTGTTTGGTGCAGTTTATATGAACTGCTTATAACTTTTTTATTTATAAAAAAAAAAAAAAAAAACTTATTTTGGGAGTATGTGTGCTAAATTGTTTAGTATAGTTTCTGCATACAATTTATTAAGTAGAAATAATTTATTTAAGTTGAAAAAAATTTGATTATCTAGTAGTTAGTATTTTCGGTTTCGATTTTTTTTTGTTATCAACACCAAATAGGCTCAAAAGCATCTCTCCATGTGCATCTCTGCAAAAAGTTATTTTGAACTTATTGCAAGCAGAATCAAACACTGGTTTTCTGTTTTTTTCTTGCTCTGTTGTTGTTGTTGTTTTTGGTGGCTTACTTGCAACTCCACACATACAAACACAAGCACAAGGCATGTTTTCATGATTTAAGAGCATCCCTAGAAGAGTAGTATTTTGTGTTACTTTAAGCACAATAAAAGTATATTTTACACAGATTTGTTACAAATTATTCCAATATTTTGTTATATTGGTATAGGTGCTCTAAGAGCAATTTCAATCGTTCATTAATTTTTTTTTTTTCATAATTCAAATTTGATGAAAAAATGACAATGTATGTTTTGATCGTTTCATCAAATTTACATTAAATCAAAGGTGAGGTAATTTTTTTTATTCAAATCAAAGATTAACCAAACCAATAATAGCCATATTAAGTTGTAATTAACATTAATTTAAGTCAAATCATAATCGAAGATTACTTTGAGTGTGACCTAATTCACCATCATTAGTCGCAATTAATACTACTTTAAGACATAATCAAACAAAATAATGAGATCACCAATTTTGATTCAATAATTTGTCTCTCTCATCACCACCACTACCACCACAAACACAATGACCCATTACTAACACAAATGGAATTTTGATTCAATAATTTGTCTCTTTCATCACCACCACTACCACCACAAACACAATGGCCCATTCCTAACGCAGGTTTGTAATCAACATCAATTTAGACTACAATTTATACATGATATACACCATTGGGTTTGTATATTTTGTATATGATATACACCATAAGGTTTCTTCAAATTGACACTAGAGTAAAAAAAGTAGAGATATGATAAAAAATTTAACAAGAATATAGAATCAAGAGGAAATATAGTACGTATTTAACAAGAATTTTGAAATGTTTACAGACACAATAGCCCTAGGCCACTCTGTCTGCTTGATAAATTGTTGCTCACTGAACATTATATATATATATATATATATATAAATTCAATTCAAATTTTATATACAAAAATTAGATGTATTTTTCAAATTCAATAATGTAGTAGTCTATTAAAAATATTTAAGGTAACTATCTTTTTTATGTCTACTGTAATCATTAGTCAATTATATCTTTTATATGTCGCTAGATCTACAAAATGAATATAAAAGTAAGTTTTTATATCATTTTTCTCTCTCTCTATATGTATAATATATACACATTTATAAAAACATTCATTAACTAAAATTCATTGGAAGATGGTTAGACAATTCACTTTTGTATAATAATACTCATTATCAGTCCAGTTCAAGAAAGCCAAAACCATTATGGTTATCTCCAAGATTTCATGAGAGAGAGAGAGAGAGGGGTTACATCAATTAGTGAGGAAGGCATAAACAAACTTATACCTTAGCACATTGTTCACGTGGTTCTATCCATCAATCAAAACTATGGTCATATCATTATCATTATCATCATGTACTCTTTGAAAACTTGAACAGACAAACAAGGGAAAAAACTGACAACATTCCATATCAATATATCTATTGATCTGATAAAGTAGATTTGAAACTTTCAAGTACAATTATTTCAAAACTTCTTTGATTCATTATATTGTGAAGTGAGTATTGAAAACACACCGGTGCTTCCACCATCTAAGTGCACTCTCCATTGTAATATAACATTTCTCCCTCCGCGCTACGCGTGCTGCTGCAAAAAACATATATGGAATGAATCTGTGACTTGTGCTTGCTCTCTCTCTCTCTCTCTCTCTCTCTACGTGCTACGCATGCTTGCATAAACATATATGGATCGAGTTTGTAGTAGGCGGCTTCCTAAGTGCCCTCCAACATATGAATATCTAAAGAAAGTGGAGCTTTTTTACCATTTCATCGATAAAATTCTTTAAAGAAATTTTCTAAATGTCAAGTGATGTTAGTTATGATTTAAAACAGTATTGGTATGATTCAAAATGACAGTAATTTGTTAGGTTTGATGGTGGGCTTCTATATATTTTGTATGGAATTTATGATGTCTCACCGACAAACAAATGAATGAATTTATTTTCAAACAAATACAATCTGTGGGTTTTATCTCCCACCTCTTTATCTCTCAAATCTCTTATGAGTTTCTTAATTTATTGATTGATATTTATAACTATCACGACCCGAACCAGTCCCAAAAGTTTGGGTCATAACCGGCCAGTAACCCATAGATTATCGAAAACCTTAAACGATCATACAGAATATTTATGCTAATGGGGCCATAAACGGAAGCGTATAATAAAGAGAAGTCTATTGAGTTGTGCCAATCATGAGGAAAAATTATGAAGATAGCCTCATAACACATTAACACATTTACATGCCCAAGTAAAAATATAAGTGCCATAAGAAATTTACACATATTGTTTACAAACCCAAGACCATAATGGAAAAAAACAAAATAAGGTCAATGTGTGGTGTGAGTCAAAGACAAAACTCCATTTCAGAGGCATGACTCGATTGTGCTCCATGCCGCTGATCACCTACATGTGCATACATAATATTAGGTAAGCTAAGCTCAGTGAGTAATAATATGGTAAAGCAGTGTAAATAGATGATCGTAAGATTCTCACAACGTCCATAGTCATATATATTCATATATTCAAAATGGCTTTAGGCCCAATCATATAACAAATGGCCCCGGGCCCAATCATATACCCAAACGGCCTTAGGCCCAATCATATAACAAGCGGCTTCGGGATCAATCATATAACAAGCGGCTTCGGGCCCAATCATATAACAAGCAGCCTCGGACCCAATCATATAACAAGTGGCCTTGAGCCCAATCATATAATAAGCGGTCTCGGATCCAAACATATAATAAGCGACCTCGGGTCCAATCATATAACAAGCGGCCTCAAGCCCATATTGCATATATCATATAATATTAATGAAGTTCCTTCAATTCGATCAAATGATACATTTAAGTCTGATTCCAAATCACATTAAAGCTTGTTTCAAATCACATAGTGTCAAATATTGCTTATCAAACCTTTTATCAAACCTTTCATAACTCGAAGTCGTAGCAGAGTACCCAAAGGCCTTAATTAACTTGCTGAATTATCATACAGGACAATCGTCAAAAGTTGACATCATACAGAACGTTTATCGCAAATCATTAGCTTATGCAAAATGTCTAAGACGGATCATAGACAAATAACAGTTACTAAGGGTCAAAGTACATTTTCTCAATTTGTCATAATCATTGCTTAAAAGGAAACTCATTCATTCTTATTAAAACATTTTTCCAAAAACTTGCCATAACATAATTGCTTCGAAGATTTCAAGAATATTTTATCATTTCAAAAACACTCATCAAGGCACATAATTTATGTAAAGTATAAGTTTCACAATTTCAAAGTATTTCAAATGAAAATACCGTTACAAAGTGAAAAATCTAGAAATCCCTTAGATATTGATTTGTGATTATATATCAATTTTAAGCAGTAAATAACAATCACAATCAAGACAAATCGACACAACGATTTTAACGTGGAAAAATCATAATTGGAGCGCCTCCAATTGTGACAAAAAAACCACGGGCAAAAGCCACAAAACAATCCACTAAGAAGACATAAATGAATTACATAAGTGTACTCTTAATTACCTAGAGAATCCACGCCTGAATCGAACCAACCCCTATGTGCCTCTTTCAGCCCCGTCTTCACCTCGAAAGAGGCACATAGGGGTTGGTTCGATTCGAGCGTAGATTCGCTAGGTAATCGAAAGTACACTTGTGTAATTCTTTTATGTCTTCTTAGTAGATTGTTTTGTGACTTTTGCCCATGATTTTTTTTTATCACAATTGGAGGCGCTCCAATTGTGGTTTTTCCACATTAAAATTATTGTGTCGATTTGTCTTGATTGGAATTGTTATTTAATGTTTAAAATTGATACATAATCACAAATCAATATTTAGGGGATTTCTAAATTTTTCAATTGGTATAAGAGCAGGTTGTTCTATTTAAAAAAAAATAAAATCTTTTAGAGCAAGATCTTGTTTGATTTGTGATAATGGATTCAATTCATGAGGGAAATTCTATGGTTCAACCACCCCTACTTGACGGATTCAATTATTCTTTTTGGAAAGCTCGGATGAGATAATTTTTAAAATCTATTGATGAAAAAGTTTAAAAATCTGTCATGTATGGGTGGATCGAACCGATGATTACCGTTGATGGAGTAACCTTCCCTAAACCAATTGATAAGTGGGACACAATTGATTTCCAAAATAGTAGCTGGAATAGTAAAACTATCAATTCTCTCTTTTGCGCCATTACACCAAAAGAGTTTAGTCATATTTGCAATTGTGAAGTCGCAAAAAAGGCTTGGGATATCTTACAAACTATTCATGAGGGCACTCCTTCTATTAAACACTCAAAACTTCAAAGGCTCACGTTTAGTTTCAAAAACCTTTCAATGAAAAATAGTAAGACCTTTGATAAATTTTATGCGAAGTTGAGTGACATTGTAAATTTCAGCTTCAATTTAGGTGAAAAAATACACAAATCCAAGGTTGTGGGAGAAATTTTGAGGTCCTTATTCGATTGGTTCCAACCAAAAGTTACAACTATTGAGGAGGCTCAAGATGTTGACAACCTCAAGTTGGATTATTTGGTTGGAAATCTCCAAACTTATGAGACACATAGAAATTTCAAAAAAAAAAACAAAAAGACGATATTGCTT